ATGGTAATGGAAGTGGGAGAGGTGGTAGTGGAAGTGGGAGAGGTGGGAGACATGGTAATGGAAGTGGGAGAGGTGGTAGTGGAAGTGGGAGAGGTGGAAGACATGGTGGTGGTGGTGGAATACATGGTGGTGGAAGTGGCAACGGAAGATCCGGTAGTGGAAGTGGTAACGCAAGTGCCAGTTGAGACAAAAGGTAAGGATCAGGAAGGTCACATGGTAAACAAGGACCTGCTTCAACCTTTTAAATAATACAAAAATGTAAGGATAATGTTAGTTATGTAAATTTATGAATTGTTTAAAGCTTTTATAGATTAATATAATTATTATTCATTTTTAGGGTCCATCAATGATAGTTAACAATAATTAAATAATAAACAAACACGTTAGAGATGGAATCTGTGTAAGTTTAAAGATATTATTGTATACAAATGAAAATATATATTTCTCCAAAAAAGGACATTTTGTTTTAAATTGTTTTGTATTAATTCTTACCTTTAAAAAACAAGCCAAAGCCAAAGCTACTACAATGCTTAAAGATTTCATTGTAGAATTGGATGTAGGCAACTGTGCAGAAAGCTGATGAATAGTGCATACAAATTAAAATTGTGGTTTGGTTTTTATACTGAAATTATTTATTTGTTTTACATAATTACACGTTTCTCAAAACAAATGTCATTGATTTTGTTAATAATTTGTTTATTGTGTATGTACTACAATCAGTGTTTGTTATTTCTGACAGATAACTTATTGATAGTTTTAGATTTTATTTATGAATGTTGATATTGAAGGCATTTCAATGGTATACTATCAATAGTGTTAAAAATTTGTGTACATCATGTTTACATAAAAAAAATATGCATAATATAACATGGTGGTTAGTAGAAGCAGTTACAAGTCCTGGAGAGGACTTCACGTCAGAGGAAATGTAGCAATAATATTCAGGTACAAGAAGTGTACCGGAAGAATTCTTATAAAATAAGAATAATACATAATGTATAGTGATTGACCAGTTTTTTTTTTAAATAACTAAACACAATTTGTACTAGCATCATTGGTTTGGTTTTACAAGGAACATTTTACTCCGATCAAACTTTTGGTTTATAAATCATTATTGACAATACTTATTTGTATTCAATTTTTACTTTCTGTAGCTACATCATTGAATTAAAAATAAACAAGTATACACTACAAATTATTAGTATAGTGTCTTTGAGGTATAAATGTTGTATTTCTCATGCATGACACTATATACATCGATTGCAATTTATACCTATTTCATTTTGTAGATATAATATTAATGAGTTGTTTGATTTTTACAAATACAATGTATATATTTAAAATATAAATAATAATATTTTTAAAATACATGAATCTTAATAAAAATCGTTTAAATTTATATATAAAAAAAAAAAAAATATTATCAAATTTATTATTTAATGTATACATTTTTAATGAATAATAATTTTTTAATCTTATATTAAACCTAACAATTATACCAATAGGAATATAATCTGTTTTGTTCAAGTTGTAGAAAAAAAATTAATGATTTTTATATGTTTAGTTAAGTCCGATTTGTTCTCGAAATTGTGTTCCATTTACATTAAAGATGCTACCGCTGTTTATTGAAAAGCATAGCGTACGAGTGCCGCCGGTTTTGGCCGTGCTTCAAAACGGTAGAACTGTCTCCTTCGGACTCGAAACAATTGAAACAATAATTAATGAAATACCGGGTATTTTACGTACGCTTAAGGTTAAAAAATCGATGTGTTAGAGAAAAAAAACATATATATATATATATCGCCCCTGGATAGTGGAATGTGTGTTGTACGTTCATTTGCGGCCCGGCGACAAGTCGGCGATCGGGATGCAGTCGAAACACGACGGCAGGTACACGGCCACGGCGTCCAGCAGCGCGGTGAACATGGTGGGCGGCAGACCGTCGGCCGCGGACGGGGTGTTCATCACCGTGACCAGGGCCTTGGCCAGGTGATTGGGGTCCAGCGAGCTCAAAAGGTTCGGTGATTTGGCGAGCGTGCCGAACACGGACACGACGCAGGACGCGGGCAACGATCCGGCCAGCTCGGGAGACGATCCGACCACGGCCAGGAACAGGTCCAGGGTGGGTGCGGGCAACACGCTCACCAGGCGGGACGTCATCAGAGGACCGAGGACGGCGGCGAGCACGGGGCCGGTCGCGGCGTCCGCCAGGATCGGAGACGCGTCGCGCGCGGCGTGCAGCAGCCCGTCCAGGAACCCGAACAGCGTGGACGGCGGCAGCGCGGTCAGCAGCTCCTGGGGCGAGCGCGCAGCCACGGACGACAGCAGGGACAGAAGGGCGGGCACCGGCATGCAGAGGAATAGCGGCCGGGACAGTGACAGCACCGTGACGAGCTTGACCGTGACCGCGCCGGGCAACGCGTCCAGCATGTCCGGCGACGTGATCGTGCCGAGCACCGGGACCATCACGGACTTGGGCACGAGAACGAGGGCGCCGGGGGACAGCGAGAACACCGCGTGCAGGAACCGGACCCGGAGGTCGGCCGGCAGCTGGCCGGTGGCGCACGCGTTCGCGGCCGTCGTCACCATGAGCACGACGTTGACGGCCGGCTGCGGCAGGCCGACGAACAGTTGCGGTGCGGCCACGAGCTTTTCGACCAGGTTGACGACCGCGGCGGCCGGCAACGGGCTGGGCAGCGAGCCGCGGAACGACACGAGCAACATGATGGCCGCGCGCATTTTCGTCGGCGTCGAGTCGGCCACCGAGCTCGACGAGCTCAAAAACGTCACCAGTTCCTCCGGTGTCCGTATGCAATTGCTGTTGGCCGGCGAATCGTTCCGCTTGCGGACCTCCGATATCTGATGGGGCTGAAAAAAATAAAATAACGAAAAACAGTTAACCAACATCAGTCGCGTTTTCGGGTTCGGTGTTTTACTCACGTTACAGTCTCGCGTCACGGTCGCCGCAGCCGTTGTGGTCGGAGGAGACGTGGTGCTGGATGTCGGCAACGGCGTCGGTAACGCGAACAACTTTTGTAGCAGACCGTGCCAGTCGGAACTGTTGGATTTCTAAATGGAAAAAAATCACCGATATTACGTATGAACGCATCATTGTTTTTTTTTTTTTTTTTTGCAACCGTACAGTTTGATAAAAAAAAAATAATAATGTAATTCGTGTATTTGTGGCTATAAAATAATATCAACCCAATATTTTCTTAAGTATATTTTCTTCGTTTTTATTTATTTATTTATTATTTTTTTATTGAAACCGTATTACAACGATTACCTAAAATATGTGAACAATTAACAAGACCTAAACAATTTAGTTCGATTAAACAACAATAGTTAAATTAATTTAAATGACCGGACCAGCAACGATGATGAAGGATATTAGTTGGATTATGACAAATTTCGAATCGAAATCGAGAATGGAAAGATGAGTTAATTGGAAGTTCTAAGATTATAAACAAAATGAGAGGACGATTAAAGGACAAGAAAGGACAAAGAAAAATAATATAGGATATGGTCAATGATCATTTTTTATCTTTTTAATTTAGTTTAATATTGGTGTTTTAATTTTGATAAACTAAAATCTTGGTCGTATTTGAAATCACTCATAAAATGATGTTTAACAAAATACACATTATACGAAATCAAGGAATTTCGAAACTCTCTGGTTACTCATGAGTACTTATTACAATTATTTACTATTCTAAAATATCAAACAAATTTAGTAAATAATTCATACGGCATTGTTCTAAATTTAAAAAAAAAATCAAAATTGCATACCTAATGTTATCATTATAATTGTTGTTAAAAAGAAAATTATTCAAGATTAGTTATCATTTTATCAACATTAGGTTTCATTATCAATTTATTTCTACTTTGTTCGCATTAATCACTCGTAGGCTAATTTTTTGATATAAATTATAACAGTTTCTTGATTACTTACTTTTCCAATTAAATCTACTTGCCAACGTTTTAAAAGCGATTGCAATCCACATTTTAAATCGTTGAGACATTCCGGCGATATAGATGATGCATCTTTATTCTGCGAATTATGAATAAATATATTTGTGTAAGTTTTTCTTACAAAAGTCGATTTTAAATATAACATCCAAATAAAACTACTTCTTTATGATACTACAAAATTGTATGTCTATACAGGTAAATTCTGTGATAGTAGGGATTTTAGATAGGTTAAGTAATTATCTATAATTGATATACTGAATTGCAATTTTACTTTTATGTACTATTTGAAAAATTACAAGCAAAATAAATAATTAATACGCGTGTACTAAATGTAGGTGAATAGTTCACTTTTTAGTATAAACTAGAAGGTAATTGATGTACACTAGTTATAAAATGCGACATTCTTAGTGTAGATAAATCGATTGATAATATTAGAATTAATGAATAATTAATAATAAAAAATTAATTAACTTACTTTTAGGGAAGGCCAAAAAAATGTATAATTTATAATAAAAATATCTGTATTAAATTTTTTTCAATAAAAATTATATGAAGGCTGTCCAATAAGGTATTATCTTATCGGTACCTAGTTAAAAGAATGTTCTTACATAAAATATTTATATAAATATATAATTTATATTACATAAGAGTGAACTTGTAGAAATGGATATTTAGGTTAACGTAAAAAATTTGAATATTTTTTGAAATTAAATAAGAACAAAAACCTTTTTATCAGTGAACATATAAAATTTGGACATAACACGATGTACATTAAATTACGTAAAAAAAAGTAGTATTTATGAACAAATAAATTTTTATTCGTATATAGAGAGTGTCAAAATAATTTTTTTTTTATAAATAAATTAAAGATTTGAAGTCTAAAGCAAGCCGATATTTCATCAGAATCGGTTTTTAAAGAATTAAAGCTACAACATTTTTATCCAACATGTTTCTAATTATTTCTTTTCTTTTATATTAATGTAATATCATAATTTCAACAATTTACTTTTTTATAAATTATTTTTTACTTATTTGCACAGAAAATTAAAAGTAGGGAATTGTACTTGTAAAAGTAAATTTACAGTTCATAAAAAATACTCATATCATACAGATTTTTCTACTCACAATTATCAAGTATGAAATAATAAATTATTATTAAATTATTATTATTATAGGATTTTTTTTTTGTGACGTGAAAACAAATAAAAAAGCACTTACTTCGAATACAAGTAGACCGAATATTACACAAAGTATAGTTGTAGTAAATTTCATCGTTGAAAATTTTTTTTATAAGGACAAAAATAACATATAGTTCACTTATGGTTAAGACGCACACTAAATATCACCATCTAATTTTCTATACGTTTTAGGTAACTGATAGAATTTAATAGATAAAATTCTTGATTTTTTTCAGTTTTTGTTTTATCAAATATGAAACATGGTGTAATATTTCTTGTAATGTGATCACTGTACACTCATATTAATTGTATTGCAAAATATTATTTAAACAATTTTTATTTCTAAATCAATGTAATTATACCAAATACAGAATTGTTTATAAAATGTGCATTCATCTTATCTAAATATTTCGTTTTTAAGATTTTGAACAAGTCGTCTTTCTTTCTTCATTTTTTTTAAATCACTATATTTTCAACAAAGGCGAAACTACGTGTCAGACCTGTCATGGCCTGACCTAATACTAACGAAAAATATGTATATATTATACATTTTAAGAGTTATGTAGGCATTATAAATAATATATTTATGCATGTAAACGTATACATTTGTACGTTTCATGTAATGCTATAATATAATATAGTATATAGGTACAATTGGTACAAGTAAGGATTATAATAGAATATAATAAGTCAATTCTATGTATTCGAATAATCGGTTATATTAGTTATTGTTAAATTTAGATATTTGACATTTATTTTTATAATTACATTATAGGAAATAATGGTTAATTTTACGTAACAATTCTTTTTATATTTTTCATTTAGCCTGACCTAGTAAAAGTGTCTAGTTTCACCTATGATTTTCAATGATTTACAAAAGTTTATCAAAATACCGTGTGGTGAAATTATTTAATAACGTTCGCCACATAATCTGCGTTATACCTACATCATAAGATAAAAATACTTTAAACAGAACACTTTTTGATATTTGTTCAGTACTTCTCAAGAGCTCGCAGAAAACTAGAAACAATAAAAGCCAGTAAAATACTGTAATAGCGCCCAAGTGATTGTTCATTGAAGATGATTACACATTTTAAATCAATAATAATCATTACATTAAAATATCTATTTTTCGTAAACGTTATATAGGTATGTATTTATGTAATTATTTATGTATGTTGCTTCCACTCAGTTAAATTATTCATTTGATGAAAAGCTATTATTGAAACAATTTTTTTATATTTCATCAAATACAAACAAATTTCATTAAGAGGTTAAGTGTTTGAGAAATTAATGGTAAAATTTCAAATCGTATAATTTTTTTAATCAGCTGAACAGTCACTTAATGAAATTTAAAAAAATCATATTTTTACCTAAAAACTATAACAGGTACAATACTTCAATCAAATAAAATTAATAATTTGTATTTCTCTATCACCACGATAAAAATCTAAGCTAATTTATATCGTGATAAAGGCAATTACACTTAAATACAAAGCATGGACTTTTCTTCTTCTTTACTTTGCATTCTGGTACAGGTCCACTCTCCTCACCCATGAAACCGTTTACGATTCACATTATTTTCTAATGTTCTTCTCTTACTCTTCTTTGCGACTCATTATTCTGCAAACTCTCTTCTCTTGGCTACTATAATTCTTGCACAATTTCAATTTAAAATCAACAGTAGTTAAATTTAAACAACGCGTAAATCTCGCCTTTATAAATATGAGTAGGAATGTCAAGTTGAATAACACTACAACAATTATTTTCAGAATCACATCAAAAATACAGAAAATTCCGTGAATTTTACGATTGTTTTTTTTAAAAGGCTGTAACTTGGTCAATATTGGACTTAATAAGTTGATTAAACTACCAAAATTCATTAAAAAATTAGGCAAAAAATAATAAGCGGTCGCCATTTAAAAAAAAATGTTATTGTGCGCATGCCCAAAATTAACTGTCACAAAAATAGTCTAATTATTTGAAAATGTGTATAATAATGTTTAGTAGTTAGCCAAAAAAGCAGAATTGAAATATATGAAGTCTGCAAATACTTATTGAGAGTTTCCACTAATCATGATCCCACTGTATATGTATATATATATATATATATGTATCGTATGGCAAGTTGTGACCAACACATTTTCTCTTACTGAATATTAATAAAACAAAATTGGAGTACATTGATAGATCTCTTCACTGTAGTATATTCGAACAACGTCTTTGATGACTACCACCATCGTTTGCTGTACTGTTATTTTTAAAGTCTCACAGCAACTATGAACAACGTCAATCGAGTAATTATTTAGGTACATAATATATAATAATAATATGGGGTGTTGAGAAATAAATAACTAGATTATGATTATTTATTTTTCAATAATCTAAGATGCAACGTGAAAAAAAAAATACATTTACCTGGGTTTTGTGTTAAAACTGTCGACTGGACCAGCGTTTCTAAACTGCGGGTACGCGTATCTACCTCTAGTGGTGTGCGAAAATATACGAGAGGTTCAACGGGAAAAAAAGGATAATGGCGGAAAATGAAAAAATTGATTAATAATAAAATATTTATGAAATGAGCACTGAGTTTGTAGAAAAGGCTTTTTCGTCATACACGTTCATTAAAAATAAGTATCATAATACGCTTTTTGTGATTTCAGATTTACGAGTTCACTTATCATCTGTGAAAGCACGTTTATTAAAAATCAAGGGTTACATTAAAATTAAACCGTTTAACGTAAATAATTTTTTTATTTACATTCTATAGCGTATACAGATTAAAATTAATGAATATTTCATAATTATTTATGTTCCATTAAAACCAGTTTTTTTGATTTCTTGTCAATCGTATGTGAAAATAGACTAAAACTGCAATAAGGTTCTTCTTACTGTGGTGAAATACAAGTATAAAATCTTAGGAATTTAATATAAATTAGTAGCTTTCTTGGCAATATCCGTAAAATCGATAAATTATGACCATAGTTTATGTTTAATACATTAAAAAAAAATAAAATAAAATGTAATGTTTGAATACTTCTGATTTTTGGTACCCCATAAGATCAGAAGTGTGAAGGAGGTGATCCGGCAGGAGTTTGGGGAAAAAGGTCAGCTAAAACGATCTGTGTTTTATCAATAAAAATATTCTCTAAAACATTGCAGACCATTAAACAGGTGTTAACAGGCAAGATAATAACTCATTTAGATGTACTTGGCACCTACTCGTAATATTATGATAATGTTTACGACGTCCGGTCACTGACCCGTGGAAATCGTACGCTTGTACGGAAGTATCCTCCGGGTCACAAGGTTATGGGTCTAAATCATTGCACGCTAATTAAATAGGTAGTATTATTTTGTTTATCGTTGGCCGGCAAGGTCGTACCGGGCACAGCGCAGTCTTTTCCGAACGTAGTATTTTTATTACGACACGTGTCCAATAAAAGTTAAAATATGCACTCGTCAGCTCTTAAAATGGTAAATATATATTAATTACATGACATCGACGTGAAACAAGGTTCCCTGCTTACCTGCGTTTGTAAACGATTATTTATTGCAGGTTCTAACGTCCGTATTTAACATACGGTTCCAGATTACGTAACCTCCTCCAAGTACACCAAATGTTTGACGGTGTAAAAATTACGTTTTCGTCAATCGTGACGTTTTTCTAATAAACAAACGAGAAACTTATTTGTTTATTTATGTCTGTACTTAACACTAAATCGAGAAATGTAACTCTTGGACGGATGAGCAGATGGCGTTGGTGATATCAAAAATGTTTATAGTATACATCTATTTTGTATAAAATATACTTGATATGTTTTAACAACAGTTATCGTAATAATGTTACGTGCACCACCCAGTGTTGTTGAATTATCCATTGTTATTGTTTAACTACTATCTGAAATAAAAATTATGCAAAAATACATTGATATACATTATTTTATAATTCACAGCACACTACATGCATTCAATTATATTATGAAAAAATCCATAGTAACTCATGTAAAAAATACAGCAAATAATAAATATTATTATCACAAGTATTGTATCGAGGTTTTCAATTTCACAATATAAATGTTTTAATTACGTAAATATTTACATGTTCCAATATGGTTTTAAGAATCAAATATAAATATTACCATACCATAAATATACCATAGTATTGTTATTAGGATACCACGCAATCAATACTGAACTATGGATTATGCAATAACGAATATTGTTTTATAAAACTATACGATTACATTAATTTGAATTGACATTAGTTTTTAAAGGGATTAGATGAATGTTATAAAACACATTGTTGTGGTGTTATATCTAGACAATTACGGAACACGCGAGAAACGAAAGTAGAATATTTCTTGAGAGGAAAGAAATATATAATTAAATATGTCCGAATTGGCTAAAAAAATTATTGTAAGGTCATTATATTTGATTTCATCTCTTCCGTACGTTTTTTAGCGACAATTTGAATAAATGGTATAAAAATGGTATAATGGTATTATTATGTTTATAATGGTATTTATAAACTAATTTATAAATATTTTTAATTGCAGACAAAAGCCAACCGAAACATGCTTTTAATTCGATTGATTTGTATGTAAGACCAAAGGACTGTTATATGATTTGTAGACAGGTCATATATTTGATGAAATAAGTTTTTGATAGGTAGTAAAACATTACGTTATGAATCTAAACAGTATAACATAATAAAATGATAAGCATTGCTAAATCTTAGAAAATCTTAGACAAGCGTCGCACAAAGGGAGGAATTGCATTTCTAGCTGACCAAAAATTTAGCACCTATCAAACAAAGTTCGACACTCACAAATAAATATTTTTTTTATTGATTTAATATGCGCAAACATTTTCTTACTTTAATTTTAATAACTTACTTCAATACTTATCTCGAGATAGATAACTGTTTAAAAAATACAGTTGAGGCAAGTAAACATTGAAATTATGAAGTTGGATAATATTACAAACAAAATAATTTTATTTTTTAACAATAAACATTTATGTAAGAAATTTAAAAAAAAATGCATTATTTTCAAATATTTAATTTATCTGATACTTAATCGGATAACAAAAAAATTAATAAAAATAAAAAATTCAGAATAATTACTACTTATTTCACTATTACAAGTTTCTATTTCTTTCTGTTCTGAGCTTT